CAGTCGGGGTACACTTTTTGGTCCAACTTTCTCCGAATTGAATTCCGTTTGCACCGTTGCGATCGGGCAGTTAAACTCTATCTAACGATATAATTTTTATATTTATTTGTAATACTTTTTCCGACATCATATTTTTGGGTGTTTGACCTTAACAGAGTCAAAATTGGTTTAATTGACCTTTCTCATAAAAGGTTCTCTCATTTAATTCATATCAATTATTCTAATGATCTATTTCAACAAATCAATTCAATATTTACATTCTAAACAAATTCTTTATTTACTCTTGATTTGGGTCTGTACTCAGGTTCCCAATTAAGACCACACAAATAGTCCACATATTGGATTTATCTCTATGAGACTTATCCAGATTTTGATATTAGATGTCAAAATAAATTTCGTATCGGCCCAAAGCCCAACAATAATTTATTTTAATCAAAACAAATTTGATTAATTGATTATTTATTCATTAATAATTCTAGGGTATATTTTGGGGCGTTACAATGTCTGTATACATACACCTTTCCCACACCCTACTATTGCGGGACCCAACTAAGTTGTTTTTGTACTTCCTCCCACTGATAAATCTACCTTGCTTCGACTCGGGGGAACCCCTCTCCCTTGCTCATTTTTTTTAAATATATAGTGTAAAAATAAAAAATCTTATAAAAATAAAAGTATGCCCCTAGACAAAATATTTCTTTTTCCCCAGTCAAATAAAAAGTTAATTCAAAAAAAATTATTTAAATAGAATATAAAAGTAAAGTAATTTTAATACTCTAGTGATATTTAATATACTTAATACTATGCAATTCATTTAGTATTATATTTTAATACTTTTAAAATATTTTGTTTGACTTATTTAAAATTTATTTGATATAAAATTAATTTTTCATCATAATTTAAAAGTACCTTAAAAAACAAATTTCGAGAGCGCTTCCTCCGAATCCCCACCTTACTATACTATCCCTAATCATTTGCAATCCTGGATTTGCCACTGCTCCTCCGAACCAATTTGAGTTACATGTTTAGTATTTATAGGGTTAATTTTCATTTGCTTTCTTTCTTTATTTTTGTTACTCATTTGATAAAATAATATAATCATGTCACCTCTTGTTTCGTAAAGCTTTTGAAGAAATCTCCTGGATAGAAAAAAAATATGAAAATACTAAAATAGGACCGTGGTACACACCCCACACCTAGGGGTGTATACGAATCGAATCGAAGCAAATATATCACTATTCGATTCGTATTCGAATTCGGATTCGTATATAATTCGAATTTTAAAAAACATTCGTATTCGATAGATATTTGACGTATTTGAATTCGTATTCGAATATTCGAATTTGAAAATATTAGTAATTTTTTTCTTAAAACAAATTTCTTAAAGATATTAAATTATTATTTTATAATAATGTAAAATGTAGTAAAAATATGTTAGAATATAAATAAATTTATTTATAAATTATAATATTCAAATATATATAAATTTATATGTACACAAAAATTTAATATATTAAAATATGTTAAAATATGTACACAAATATTTAATATATTAGAATGTATATAAATTTATTTATAAATTATAATATTCGAATAATTTGAATAATAAACGAATCGAATCTATTAATATTTGTATTCGAATTCGAAAATAATTCGAATCTAAAATATGATTTGTATTCGGATTCGAATTCGAATATAGCGAATATGAATCATCCTTTTCGAATACGAATCACGAATCGAATACATTTTATTTGATTATGCACCCCTATCCACACTCTTGCTACCAACCTTGCCTCCACCTACTTCTTCATCTCATATTTATCTATACCCATTCTCCACCCATCCTCTAATTTTAATTTTTTTACCTCTCTACTACATATTTATGTAGGGGTATAGTTGGTAGCAATGGTGGAGGGGCATTTTCTTTTTTAAAAAGATAAAGAATGTCAAATAGGCCGGTATTACTCGTATAGTCTATATGGTCAATCCAAAGTCCAAACCTTGGTATCTAGTACGGATTAACCCGAGGTCCGAGAATATAGGTCGCCCACGCAAAAAAAAAAAAAAAAGAAGGAAAATTACCCCGAGTAAAAAAAGAAAAGGAAAAAACTAGTCCACAATACCACATTGGAAGAAGATCAAACGTGAGGGGTAAATTTCACAAATGGTACCTGAACTTTAGCTGGAATTTCGAAGTAGTACCTGAACTTCAAATCCTTTCACAAAAATCCCTGAACATACACAATCCTTTCACTAATGAGCCATTAGCCCGTTTCTAGGTTAACTTCCGGTCATTAGGGCCAAATTCGAATTTTATATATTTTAAAATTTTCAATT